GCTGAAGGAAGGCAGGGGAGGCTTTGAAAGGCGCTGGGCAGCCTTCTCTGTGGTGCAGCCCACTGAGCTATCACCCTGACAAAATGCAGGCCTTGCGGCTGATGGAGAGGGGCCACGAGGGGCAGCAAAAGTGAGTGCTTTCCCTGCTTGCCGCCGCACGCTAGGTCTGCCTCCTTCTCCCCCATAGAGGGGTTGCTGCTCTCTCGGCGGAGCGTCCACCCCCTTCGCCGGCTCACTCCAGGCTGCGGGCAAAACGCTGCCAGCCAGTTCGGTGGGTGGGGCCAAGCCAACGCAGCTAGCCAATGCAGCCACAGGATTGGGAGACTGTGAGAGTGGCAGCTGAGCAGGCGAAAGACTGTGAAAGCGTGTCCAGGAGGGACACCAAAACTCTTTTATTATAAGGAGAGATGTGCACACTAGTAGCACAGATGGGGAAGAAGGTGCAAATAAACTGAAGAACTGAAATTTCTAGCAAGCTGCCCATGGAGAAATCCCAGATTTAATTTCAAACAATTCTGGTTCAATTAGAATTCAGAGGAGTGGAATGCTGCAGTGAGCAAACTTCCAGAATAAAAAAAGAATAACATATGATCGAGGCACTCATTTCATTTCTATCCGCTCAAATATTCTTATTTGTATGAGTATTACCAAAGAAAAAATTCCCAGTTCTCAGTGCTTCTTTCAGCTATATAAAAATAGAAGGAAAAGCATAATAAAACCACACAATGCTTCCCTGAACTCAATGACTTTGTGTAGTAAAAACCCTGGAGAAGCTATTCCTGCATATAGTGTGTGAACAGAGTGGCAGTGGATCACACAACGCCTAAAGAAACACACAGCATGATTTGCCTTTCTTTACGAACACAATCTTACACTAAATGTGAATATTTCTGATAACAACAAATTAGACCTGTAATTTGATGCCAAAAGGTTAATGAAGAAATTTTCATGAAGAAATATTCAATTTTTTGAAGAAAATGTATTTTGGCAGTGCTAGTGAGCACTTTTTTTAAAAGGGAAACATCTGGTTAAATTAAATTTTGAAAGAACTGTTCGTATTCAAACTGGCAATATATGAAATGTTGTCAGCCTGAAAAGCTTCTGTCCTCAGATGCATATTCAAACTGGCAATATATGAAATGTCAGCCTGAAAAGCTTCTGTCCTCAGATGAAATCATACTTGAATTTGATTACATTGTGATCACTTGGTAGGTGGTTTCACAGCAATTCTCCATGGCTTTCCACATATGTGGAACAGTGGTCCAGGCGACTTAGGGTGAGCACGTAACACCTAATTTCTAAAACAATTTTATCGGCATGGGTAGGACACACACTTATTAATAGCGTCATTACAAGAAAACTGAAGAGAAGATGAAGTATAGAATCTGGAGAACCTATGATCTCAAGGGGAACAAGATTTGAGTCCAGTAGCACCTTGATGACCAACAGGATTTACAAGCTATTCTCAAAAACTTGTACCCTGGAAATCTTGTTGGGTTTTTTAAGTGCTACTGGACTGGAATATTACTCTTGTACTGCAGACCAACACCTACCCACCTGAAACAATGATGTTAAGGAGAGAGTCTCAGTGCATTATTCTTCCAGGAGCATACACTTAAGCACAAAACTTTCTCAATTCCAATAAAAGAGCAGCCATTCTGTCCTCTACCTCTGCATTCTTCTATTTGTTTCATTTTCAGGAATTCTAAATGACACCCTGGGCTGAATTTCAGACATACACACCATTTATAGACATCTATTTAGCATCACCATGATTACAATATTTCCAGTGCAATACTATGCAGAGGTACTCCATTCTAAGCCTATAGGACTGTGCTGTACATTATTATATAGTACCCCCTTATGTAAATGCTTCAAGCACTTTACTGACCTATCTCGATAATCCTTGTAGCAATATTTTCGGTTAGGCCAGTACTGATCGTTATCCTCCTCCTACAGATAGAGTCTAAGGATTGGATCCAGACTAAATCATGATTTTCCACCAATTTCCCCTTTCCTGCTGTAGAGTTTTATTCCTCTTGGTCCCCCATCCCCCAGGAGTAGCATTTCACAGAAATCATTGGGCTGCAGTGGCAGGAAAGTTCTATTCTGCCATAAGAAAATTTAGTCTGGATCCAATTGATGAGCAGATAGATAGTTGCTTGCCTAAGGCTAACAATGGCTTCATGACTTGAGATAATAGTTGGAACATGAACTTTACAATTGTCAGGTCATTCTCTGAACTATGCTTGTGTTTATGTATGCCTTTTCAAAGTACTTTTTTTTCTCTGCAAGTAAAGCAACAAGTAACAGAGTGTAGAATGGCTGTTCAGGGCCATTATTTGCATTTGGCTGCAATTTCCTTGAAAACCCATTACTCTCTTCCAAACACCTCTACTGCTGATGAGAAGAAAACTTCTGCCTTGAGAAGTAAATTAAACGTGCACCATTTTGTGGCTTTGAAGGGAAAAAAAATGACTCAACAGTTCTTTTGGAGTTCAGAAGTTTTTGGAGTCCGCAAGGTTAGACAACAATATCAGAATATTATAGCACAGTGGATCTTTTAAATTTCTTTCCCAGCAGGAGTTGCCATCTAGCACAGAATTTATTTAATTCCAGCAACATAAATAAGATGTGGCAGGAGAAAGTAGGAATACCACCTGCACTATTTTATGGTATATTTCTCATAGCATGTTTTAAAATAATGACAAAATATAAAAATTTATAGGTATGTTAGCTGGAAAGGCAGATCATAAATATAGAATCACATTTGCTGAACTAGAAAAGGAATAAAACTAGCCAGCCATATCATTTTAAAAATTGCATAGAAAACATTTATAATCAATTTTTTTGCAAATACGTACAGTCAGGGCTGGTTTCAAACTCAAACTTGCGGCTGTTGCTCCCATATCCTGCAGCTGTTCGGGCTCGGATTTGAAAAACGTAAGTGGTGTCCGGTTTGAGGCCACTGATAGTGACATTGGTGCTTCTTGCCCTCAGAATGGTGTAACTTGTCTCTTGCTCCTGCTTTAAGGAAATAAATGGCCACATTAAAACCTAACATAATCAACGCCGATGGGATCTGATTAATTTAAATTCTTTTATTTTAGTGCTGCCAACTTCCAAGTAGGGGCTGGAGTTTTCCTGGGATTACAATTAACCTCCCAGCTACAGAAATCAGCTCACCTGGAGAAAATGGCAGGTTCAGAGGGTGGAGTGTATGGCATCATATCCCTGCCCAGCTCCATCCCCCGGCTCTACCCCCAAATCTCCAGGAAATTCCTAACTCAGAGTTGGCAGCCCTGTTTAATGTCCCATTTTGTTGCTTGTACTGACTCACTGTGGGTAACCCACCTTGAGTCTCATGTGAGAAGGATGGACTATAAATAACTCAAAATAAATATTTTATTTTCATTTGCATAACAGTTTCTCTCTACATGACTTAGGCTGTGTAATTAAATTCACTTCCATTGCCAGAATGATGCAAAGGGATGGTGTTTCTGGAAGCCCACTGCAGTATGATTTCTAAAAACAGTATAACCAGTCTTTTTATCTGACTCTCTTGGAAACTCTCAGATAGTAAAACACTCGTCCTAAACAGAGAAAGAAAATATGATCCAACCCTAATATCTCCCTTGTCTGGAAAAAGAACTTAGGCCCTGGTCACATGGGAGGATTTGATCCGCAAGAGGGACGGATCGGGGGCGCATCAAGCGGGCGCAATCACACCGCAACATCTGGGAAGCGGTGCGCATCCGTCCCCGATCCGTCCCTTCAGCCCACAAACGCTCATCAAAAAGGTACTAGCAAAAGAGCAGTACCTATTGGATGATGCACGGCAACGGAATGCGTCTGGTTGGGGAAGCACTGGTAGCCCAGCAAAAGAGCTACTGGATGATGCGCGGCAACGGAAAGTGTCTGGTCGGGGAAGCACTGGTAGCCCGTCGCAGCCAGTGCTGTTCCCCATCCCACCACTGCCGGTTTGCTGTGCAATGTGTGATCGGCTGCCAGAGCATGGAGCACAGAGCCACAGGGGCATGTCGGATCGCGCTCAAGCGGTTCTTTTTGCTCCGGCTCTGATTTGCCTCCCTTTGGCAGCGGATCATCCCGCTAGTGTGGCCGGGACCTTAGTCTGCCTAATAGGGCTAAAAGCAAGAGAAAACAGAATGATCTTGATCCAGCCACATGCTCATTTCCTAGCAGCTACTAGACTGTCTGAAAACACAAACCCTTAAGTGTTTGTGTTAACCTCTCCCCAACAAGATTATTGACTTGTTCATCCTACCAGTACATCCTACAAGTCTAGTTCATTCTACAAGAATAGAAGTGGAATAGGTGGCTGCCTTGCAGGGACAAAGAACTCACTGGGCTCCCTTCTCATGCAAGAAAGGTATTTCCCCTGTAATATACATGCACACATGCTCCAACAGTGGTGCTCCAGGGCTGGCTTGGAGCAGTTCATCGATGTCACAACATCCTTTCCCATGGTGGTGGCAATCTACCAAAGATCATCTGAATCCAAGAGTGCTGTCTCATGTACTTAAAGCTTCCTTAACCATAGTGGATTCAGTGTACTTTTACAACAGGTACTATCAGGTCCTTGCTCAGATGAAGACTCAGGCCTCTGTGATGCAGAGTACTTTTGCTCAACCATGGTTGTAGTGCCAACCATGGCTCTTCTTACATTATATAAGCATTATATGGCCAGAGTTATTTATGCTCTGACCACATCCAGAACAGATTGCTGCAGAGAGTCTTCTTTTAAAAAGTAGAAGGTCTGTTGCAATGAAGTGAACAGAAGGGAGCACAGGGTCTGGCAAGTAGAGCTGTTTTTAATATCCCACTTTTCTTTACTCAAAGGAGTATTCAAGTGGCTTATAATTGCCTTCCCTTCTTCTCCCCACAACAGACACCCTGTGAGACAGGTGAGGCAGAGAGACTTCTAAGAGAACTGTGACTGGCCCAAGGTCACCGAGCAGGCTTCATGTGGAGGAGAGGGGAATCAAACCTGGTTCTCCAGATTAGAGTTCACCGCTCTTAATCACTGAACTATGATGGCAAAAGAAGTGTAAATTAATAATTGGCATGTAAAAAGAGAATGTTGAGTAGGAGATTTCTAAAAAGCATCAAGCCAAACATTAAACATTTCTCTAAATATATACAGGACACCAGCGAAAGACTCAGTTGGGCCTTTGGATGACCAGGGAATAAAAAGATGTCTAAAGGAAGATGGGGAGATGGCAGAAAAGCTAAATTAATTATATGAATCCATGTTCACTGTGAACAGTGATGGGGCATGTACTCAAGCCATAGCCACTATTGTCAGGAAGAGAGTCGGAAGAACTGATTCAAACTGAGGTGATGAGAGATGATGTTCTAGACCAATTGGGGAAAATAAAAACCAATAAACCTCCAGGTCCTATACACCCGAAGGTTCTTAAGGAATTCAAATATGAGAATGTTGATCTACTAACCCACGTATGTAACTTGTCACTAAAATTAGCTGATGTACCAGAAAACCAGAGAGTAGGAAATGTTACACTATTTTTTTTAAAAGGGGTCCAGTGTGGAATCAGGAAATTAAGGGCAGTCAGCCTAACATCTGTTCCAGGCAAATTATTAGAAACTGTAATGAAAGATGGACTTATTAAGCACACAAAGGAACAAAGCCTGCTGAGGGAAAATCAGCATGGCTTCTGCAAAGGGAAGTCTTGCCTCACCAACCTTTTGAAGTTGCCATGTGCCTGCTGGAGGACTGTTAGAAATGGGACTGAAAATAAAAGAGCCAGTATTATATTGTAAGCCATCTTAAGTAACATAGGGTAGAAATGTGGCTAATAAATATTTCAAATAAATAAATAATGACCTTGTTTCTATGGTACAGATTCAACTGGAATGCTGTGTGCAGTTCCAGTCATTGTATCTCAAAAAGTTTGGTAAGGCAGGACTTCCCTTTGCAGAAGCCATGCTGATTTCCCCTCTATGTGCTTAATAAATCCATCTTTAATTACAGTTTCTAGTAATTTGCCTGGAAAGCATGTAGATAATGGTAATGACATAGACTTTCTATATTTGGACTTACAAAAGGGTTTTTAACAAGGTACTCCTGAGTAAGCTTGCCTCTTATGGATGAAAAATTGGTTAAATGACAGGAAGCAAAGAGCAGGAAGAAACGGACAGTTCCTACAATGGAAGGATGAAAGGAGTGGAGTCCTACAAGGACTGGGATTGAACAGTGTAATGGCCACATTTGCAGATAGTGGGACTGAACAGTGTAATGGCCACATTTGCAGATGACAAAGGATGTTGAAAACCAAGGAACACTGTGAACATTTCCATAAATTGGGCATGCTACAGTGCAGCAAATCAAGTTCAATGTAGATAAGCATAAGGTGATGTGTACTAGAACTAGGGCTGCCAGTCTCCAGGTGGGGCCTGGAGATCTCCCACTTTTACAACTGATCTCCAGCTGACAGAGATCAACTCTCCTGGAGAAAATGGCTGCTTTGAAGGGTGTAGTCTATTGCATTGTACCATGCTGAGGCCCCTCACCTCCCCAAACCCCACCCTCTCCTGGATCCACCCCCAAAGTCCCCAGGTATTTTCCAACCCAGAGTTGGCAACCTTAACTAGAACAAAGAATTCTAATTTTTAAATATATGCTAATAGGGTCTGAACTTTCTGAAAGTGAGAGGGAAGGGGTTGTAGTGGCTAGCTCAATGAAAATATAAAAACACAGTGTACTGCATTAGTGAAAAAAGGCAAAGTCTATGCTGGGGATTTTTTTAGAAAAGGCATTGAAAATAAAAGAGCCAATATTATATTGTAAGCCACCTTCAGTTTCACAGGAGAGAAAGGTGGCTGTGTGCAATTCTGGTCACTGTATCTCAAAAAGGACATGTTAGAGCCAAGAAGACCAAGCCTTGTCCACTGGAGCCCCTCCTGAGAGTTCAGATGGGGGAGGTGGTAGCATCTGGTTCAGCTTGCTCAAGGTGAGGCAAATGCTGGCCCCCAGTCTGGCCAAGCCCCATGAAAGGCAAAGCAGGCAGCGGTGCCCAGCCCAAGCCCTGAATGAGGCAAGGTGAGGCAGATGGTGGCACCCAACCCAGCTGAGCCCCACACAAGGTGAAGCAAGGCAAATGGTGGCACCCAGCCTGGCTAAGCCCCATACAAGGTGAAGCAAGGCAGAGGACAGTGCCTTACCCAGCTTAACCCTGCACAAGGTAAGGTGAGGCAGAGGGCGGCACCCAGCACAGCTAAGCCCCAAGCAAGGTAAGGCACAAGCTGGTGCTTGGCTGATCCCTACACAAGGCAAGACAGAGGCTGGCCCCCGCTGAACCCTGTACAAGATGAGGCAAGGCAGAGGAGAATGAAGTAAGGTGTTTTGAGTCCACACTGTAGAGAAAGGTGGGCTATAAATGAAGTAAAGAAATAATAAATGTAGCTGGAGATGGAGGGGTAGATAATAAAAAGTTGATGGGTAGGTGGGAAAGAGAGAAGGAAGTGGAGAAATGTGAGGATATGGGGGTTGACAGGTGGAGGAAAGGAGGAAATTATGCGATGAAGTTGAGACAGGAAAAACGAGTGGCCTTTGGAAGTCCTTGCAGATTTACCATTGTGCAGATTTACGCCCACCTGGAAACCGGCACCACACAACTGAGCCAAAGTTTTCTTGGGTAGAGGATGCCAGGGGTAAGGCATAGTGGAACACTCAAAATGGTGAAAATATAAAGGTAGGTTAACTGGTGGATGGGAAGGAGAGGAGGCAGGAAAGAGGGAGAGACTGGGGGCTTTCAGGGAAGGGGAAAAGGAAATAGTGGAGGAGAGGGAAATCCAGCCTTTAAGTCCTTTTGGTTCCCACTTGCTACTATCTAAAGTTAACCAAGGTCCTTCATTTTACTGAATTCAAAAAAAAATATGGGCTTGCATCCTGAGATAAATATCTATTAATAGAAGGTTATTTTTGCTAATTTCCTCCTCCTGCTGTAGACCTCTGACTTATCCCCTGATGCTGCTCCAGGGTCCTCCTGGAGAAGCATTTGTGGCTGCAACACAATGGGGAAAGTGAGAATATTTCATTCTACTGATAGAAATGCATTCCATTAGAGGAGACTGACCACCGTGCTGTATAAATGGGAATGTAAAGAATGGGAAAGATCCAAATATTTGTATTGCATCCATTTATGCCAGAAACCTACATTTTTTAAAAAGGTGTTAAGTGTGGTTACTATAAGCCTTGGCTTTATTATGAGGCATTTCAGAATTTTGTTTGATGCGTTTCTTACAGCATTGGCAGCTGGCCTGATAGACATGAATTGGAAAGCACACTTTATAGCTTTTAACTTTTTTTTGGGTTTCTTACTCTATTGTTGATGTTACTGCTTGAACTTAACCAGATCTCTCCCTGGCTGTTTTTGCCCTGATTTCCCACCTTTTCGTAGTACTTGACTTCGTAGTCCAAGATGATCCCATTAGGATGTTCCGGTTCTTGCCAAGACAGAGACACGCTGTTTCTAGATGTCCGGTCTTTCCTAATTATTGTGATGGGGGATGGAGCTGGGTAGGGAGGGAAAAAGCAAAAGCAAATGGAATTTATCATTGCTCTAATCTTTGGCAAGGAGGTGGTGTTTCCATTTGAAGGACTCCTGTGTATAAACCTGGACTTGTATCAACACTCAACAGCTGTATTATAGACTTCTTACCCAAGCCTTGAAGTGGGATGGCCTGCAGAAAAACAAGTTAGACTTTCCGTTGCTAGTAGACTAGTGGCAAACGAGCAGATGTTTCTAATCTGCTACTATAATGTAAGCAATGAAATACATTTGATATATAAAAAAGTGAACAAAAAATCTGCCTATTTATTATGATGTTGCAGTGTTATTATTACCAGATTCTGCTGCTCATTGATAATGTTTTCCTATTTTAGGCATACGACAAGACTGGAATAGATTATGCACAAGTAGTCCCAAGAGGTCCATTGTTAATAATAAGTGTACTGCTGAATGTATCCTTTTTGTGACATATTCTGTTTCTTTCTCACCCCACCTCAGTTCAAACCTTTCCTAGACATCTGTAGCAATTTTGCAGGGCTTAATCTAACAAAACTTTTAGAACCTAAATACAATTATTAAGTGCAAGTAATTTTCCTTAATGAAAAATACAGGAGCAGATAACATGAATTCTAAAATTCAACATGATATCATATATCATATCTTTTGGAGGCTAAATTGGGAGATACGATTTTCAAGCCCAACCAGTGAGTACACATTACAGTAAAATGAATGATTTTACACTAGAGATGCTACCAAACTTTATGACAATACTGGTTTGATTTCAAGTTTCTTTAATGGTTTCACTATATTTAGTACATCACTCCAATCATCCTTTCTCTAACCATATTAATTAAATTAAGTAGAAATGTTCTATTGAAATTCACATCTGTTTTTGCATTCATAGGCATTAGAATGCTGTGAAACAAACAAAAATGAGGGAAGTTTTCCAAATACATTAGGCAGGGTGAAAGTGCTCTTTCTGACCTTTCATTAAAAGTTTTAAAAAATGGGGGGGGGTCCTGTTTTAATCTTTTTTAAAAAAAGAATTGTATGCCTTACTTGTTTGACCTATATATTATAACAAGATACTGAATAGAATATTTATCTAAGTATCATCTTACATCATCTTTTTTTCTCTGCAGACACAAACCTAGCTGTTGAAAGAAAGTCAGCTGACAATCAACATTCTGACTCCTCCCTCAGGGAAGGGAAAACTTCTTGCCCATCCCAGATTAGGAATGTAACTAAGAGTTTTATCTTCAGAGGAAGGGTTTCAGAGCACTTTGGTGCCAGCATCTCCCTGCCCTGTTGTCATAGGACAGGGCCTCCTGCTGTAGTGAATTTCAAGTGAGTTGGACCTGAACAAGGAGCCTCCAGCCATCTTTCATGTATTCCTATGGGGGGGATTTTAAACCCAAGAATCCACATTAATGTACACCCCTAGAATTGTCCAACCCAAACCAAGTAGGAACACTGTTGCAAGCATAGCAAATGTAAAATCAGAGAATCCAGCCAACATTCAACCCAAGAATCTAAAGCCGTGTTTAACCCAAGAATCCACCACAAAAAGTAAACCTGACACAAAGCAACTTGAGCAAAGAGCATAACTTTGCAAAGTCAACAAAAAGAAGGTGTAATCTAAGACAAATCAACTTTGCAAGATGATATGGAGCCTGGAAAGACACAGAGACTCTGGAGGGAAAAAAGAAAAAAACAGTCTGGGAGCCTTCAAATGCTGGCTCCTGATAGTCCTGGTTAATCCCGAATATTTCCCAGATTTTTTTGGAAGTATTTACTGGTATCTGTCAGCTAGGCCACTGGCATAGGTGGTGGAGAGAGGAGAAGCTGATGGATAGTCTGTTGTTGTAATGGAATCTTAGCTTTCGTTTCTTCCCATCTCATCTTATCTGCTATCTTAAGTAGGTGACCTTGGTACCTTGTTGCGGCTTTTGCTGGGAATGCAAACCCATTAGCTTAGGCGGGCTGTAGCTTATTCCCTGATTGGCTCAGACCCATCAGGGGGACCCCTTTGAATTTCGTATAACTCCCCATTTCGCAAGCTTGCGATCAGTTCTGACACAGAGTGTATGCCCAGATGACCTGCCTTTACTGTCTCAATAAACTTGAACCTTTCTGAAGGAGTGTTGTTGAGAACTGATTGCTGCAGGACTCTGACAGTATCCCAGAAAATCCTGGATACTAAATGGAGACCCAAATGTCCCCCTTAGGTTGGTAGCAGGCCAATCGGATAGAATCAAGGTACAATTTCTCCTTGCTTCACGAGATCCGGAGATCATTGAACTGACTGCTAAGTTTCTCCATGGTTTTATAAAACGGAAGAGTGACCCTGATCATATTAATGATTCTTAATTTTTAAGTCTAAAAAAAAGTTTAAAAGTTTAGAATGCCAATTTATTTTATGATTCAGGTATTTTTTGTATGGTCAAATCTAGCTTGTGACAACTTGAGTTAGGCTTGACATAGCCACGACTATTTTATAATTTCTTTTGGATTGTATTATTGGTAAATGCTTCTAATATTGTATGCCAATAAAAGATATTTGAATTGAATTGAGACCCAAATGTATCTGAAAAGTATTGACAAGGTATTTTTTGGAAATATATTTGGCTTGGATATATCCCTGAAGTGGTTAGTTCTTAGGAATAAATATTGATCTAGTACAATAACCTGATTTACATTTGCAGTTTTCCATAGTGCCCTACAGCAGTTCCTGAATCTAAAGATACAAGCTACTCTTTAACTCAACAGAAGGAACACGTTCTCTTTCTTGTCCTTTGTACATGGCATAGAACAAAAGTCTAGTGATGATGCCAACAAAGTCTGAAAATAGCAAATTCAGTGTCTGAAGTTTCCACAACTCAAAGTACTTAAACATATTTTGAAGTTAACTTCCTTACCCCTGAAAATGGCCTTCTACTGATAATTTGAATTAAGAATATTTTATGCACACATTTTAACTTGTGCACCCTCCAGTCCCTGTTCTGAGGACTGAACAATGAACCTGGACTAAGAGTAGATTTATAATATGCAATTATATGCAGCCAGCAAACAAAAAAACAAATGAATGAATGAATGAATAAATAAATAAATGGGAAGGACTGTGACTCAGTAACAGAGCATCTGCTTTGCATGTAGAAGGTATCAGGTTGAGTTCCCAGAATCTCCAGTTAGAGTGAAACACTCTACCTGAGATTCTGGAAAACTGTTGCCAATGACAGCAGACAGTACTGACTTTGATAAACCAATGGTTTGACTCTGTAGGAGGGAGCTTCATGTAGAAGGGACTCAGTAGAAGGAAGCTTTAAGAGCAGCTGCAATTACAACTATTGTTCCCTGCTGGATTTTTACTTTAAAAAATGTGAGTTATGGCTCAATCAAACAACATGTCTGGTAATTTCATATGCTGCCCAAGGGCAAAGCATGAATCATGTATATAAGATCTTTAACAAAACTATGCTTCTGGCCCTTTGATGGAAAAATCCATGAGACTGACCGGAGGGGGGGGGGGGTTCCGTTGTGAAAACTATCAAGTTTGAAAACCCATGAACCAAAATACATTAGTAAAGAATTCCTTTATTTAAAGTATTTATATCCTTTTTGTCCATGTATAATTTCTGCAAGGTTACTTAATAATTTTATAGAACAATAAAACTGTAAAAATAATACAAAAAAAGAAAGACTAAAAATCAGTCCTCTCTAACTATGGTAAATTAAACAGGATGCAAAGCAAACAGATATAGATCAGTAATTCAGCATTCAGAGGTATAAACTGTTTATGAAGGGCACACTGTAGAACACTTAGTGTGTTCCTAAATGGAGAGTTCTAGAGCAAGCATAACCCCTGTGAGGCAGATTTTAACCCTTGTAAATCAGATTGGTCCTTCACTATGGAATGAACACAGGACATCAGATTATGGGTTAAACAAGGTTTTACTTCTTAATTTACAGATATCCATCCCATTAGTGTGGATTACCACCTTTCATTTTGGGAAACCCCATCTTGGCTCCAGTCTCTGCTGGCATAGCTTCTGGGCTTGCTTATCCTAGCATGCACAGAACATTTGAGCAGAGAGGTGCCAAGCCTAACTTCTCCCTCCCCCCCAAGCCAATGCAGCCATTAAAAGTTTACAACCACACAAGAATGGAAAAACACTGAATGCAGTTATGCAAACAAATAAACAGAATAATCTGTCACACTGTACGATTTACACTAGAGACTTCTGTTTTTTATTAAATTAAAAGTTTGGCTGATGCTGCTTAACATCAGGAACGGGTCCCCCCTTTGACCTTCCAGCTATTAACCAAACAGTGGCTAGATTGAAAAGAAAATCCCCCTTCATCCTTTAGATTTCCTAGAATGCTTTCTAATTAATGTATCAGCAACCCACACTATATCTGCCATCTCTAATTAGGAGGCCAGGTGTCCCCACAGAAAATAATAGTCCTTTAAAATATATTAACAATCAGCTGTTTGCCCAAAACAGTTCCGTCTATCTCCCTTCCCACTCCCATTGACTCGGAGAGGGAAATAGAAGAAGAAGAGATTGGATTTAAAGCCCACCTTTCATTACCTGAAGGAGTCTCAGAGCGGCTTACAAACTCCTTTCTCTTCCCCTCCCCACAACAGACACCCTGTGAGATAGGTGGGGCTGAGAGAGCTCTTTTGAGAACTGCTTGTGAGAGAACAGCTCTGAAACAACTTATGACTGACCCAAGGTCACACCAGTGGCTGAATGTGGAGGAGTGGGGAATCAAACCCAGTTCTCCCAGATTAGAGCCAGTGTTCCCGACCACTACAACAAACTGGCTCTACACCAAATTGTTTAATTTTTGGTTAGATTTCTTAAAATACAATATTTTTGGCTACTGAAATTCAAAAATCTGAAAACTATGCCCAGAACTATTTAGAATATATATATCTAGCAGCTCTCAGTGCAATTTGAAATGGTCAAATCGATGGGGCTTTCTAGGAAAGTGTTTTTA